ATTGTGATCTTCCTAAAATAATTCGAACATAAGATTTGGCTGCTCTTATTAGTCATACTGTGATTTGCCTTTTTCAAAGAAATCTTTATCTGCCCCTAATTAAAGGGTATTATATAGACCCTGAATGACCATACGAGTATCCTTTTTGGACATTTTATGTTGAAGGATTCATCTTGTAAGTCCTCAATCTCATCTAGGTAATGTGGTGCTTCGGATTGATTTCATTTTTTATTTGTCCCAGAAACAATGAAGCCACATTTTTAAATTAGCTTAATGAATTGGCGTCACCTCCTTTACAAGATGCTAATTTTTTAGAATCCTTAATAAAACTAAAAAATAATTGCTTAAGCTAATAAAAACTGTTTTCCAGTCAAGAATAGGAATGAGGCAGGACTAAAATCTATGTAGGGATAAACAAACCGCAAGTAAAATTTAAATTGTTGTTGAATAAAATCTGTTAATATTATTGTTTGATTGATTTTAAATAATGTTGACTATAGAGACTGATACTCACTTCTAACATCTTCCAGTCTCTCAGTCGTTTAGAGTTCGGCCTTCTCAATAATCTTTCCCCACACTTCGCTAATGACTGAATTAATTAAAATTAATTTATTATTATTACAATGAATAATTGCTATTTCCGTTAATTTTAATTATTTACTAACCATATTTTGTCACTGAATTAACTAGCTATCAAATCATTTTCTTAATTTATATTATATGCTATATGATTTGATATATGTATCAATTAATTACTTAAGTAATTACTTTATTTGTTTGTGTGGTTATTTATTAAGGAATTGCTTAAATTATTGATCGCTTGATTAATAACTTACTTAATTGAGGGTTTAATAAATAAACGGATGAATTAATGTTGCCTTATTCATTGAGGGGAAGTGAGGACCCTCATTCATCACAACCATTTTAACAATTGACTAAATAAACGACTTATTGAGAATAACTTGAAATAGGAAGCGATTTCTTGCATAAGACAATATCGAGTTTACTTGTTCAACAAGTTACCATTTTTCATTCATCAAGTCAAAATTGCTCGCCAAGTCAAGAGGAATTGATGGCTAAGCTGGATATTTAATTAATCCAATAATAAGGCGGACCTAGAATGACAGCAGTGCTAAGCCACAATGTCGAAACCTGATCTCATATTTCTTCCAGTGTGCCACCTATTGCCGGATTATCACTTTAATATGGTTCCAATCCTGTCCTCCAAATCACGCTTACTGATTTACGAAGACTATCTTCTTTTACTTGACCTGCCTTGGTGGACGGTTGGAAATTGTTTTCGTACCGTTTGTATGCAACTGTCCTCTGCCATCTGCTTCAGCTTCTGTATAACTTCTACTACACTTCTTTGTCTGACTTAACACAACCTTGTGTGATTATACGTCTTGATGGGAAAAGATAAAATTGCGTTCTATTTATGGTTATCAATGCCTAGTCTAAACAGATTGTTTGATAAGACCTGTATTCATAATAGGTCGCATAAATTGCGGAAGAATTAATTGTTAAGGGGACGTTCATTTCGTATGAAAGTGCATGAAGAAGAGATTCGTTGGTCGATCTCACCAGTCCACGAGACTGCGTCAGCATGAATATCGTATATAAACCAAACGGCTGCAGTACAACGAGGTTCATCCGTCCTCATCTGGTGAGATCGACCAACAAATCTCTTCTTTATGCACTTTTATACGAAATGAACGTCCCCCTAACAATTTTATCCCAGGAGATTCATGGAAACCAAGTTTATCTTCGTATCCACAACGAATTAATTGTTTCATTCGTCAACAATGATGTAAAATGGTATCACGATGCCATTGGATATTACTCACCTTTAGCTTTCAATAAATACCATCTAGTCTGGACGGTAGTCAAATCCAGGTTGCCGCACATCCACGAAAGCCAGTTAGTCCTAGGTCAGTTGTGATTTCAAAGGTGTTCTAGGTCTCTTGAGAATCTTAATTTTTAGGGGACTATCGACGATGAAAACATAGGTTCTTCGCTTCACTCGAATACTCTATTTATATTCAATGTTAGTAGGCTTAGATATCATTGTATTGGTTTGACCTCGTTTTCGCAACATGGTCGGAGCATTAGGAAGGCCGTGTGGAGCGTGTCTAGTCATGCGTTCTCTGCCAGATTATTCGTGATTTCCAGCATCGGAACGTTTATTTACTGCGTTTCTCGACGTTTCGCCAGCATCATAAAGGAGACTGCAACCAAACAGAAGGCCACGCCATCTTTTTCTTTATATCTACGCTTTAAATATTATCACCTACAATTATAATAGGTCAGACTAGGATCAACACTCAGCAGAGTAGAAGGTAAAGTAAGTGTGAAAAGGTTAAACGAACTCCGCTCAAAAGGACACACCAGAACGAAATTTAAAGAAGCAAGTAAAAAATCGTGATAATGAGGGGTGTTACGAGGATATAGGATAGGTGAATACACTGGCACAGAGGGAGAGATATTACAACTGTTTAGTATAGGATTGGTCAAAGCATCGACTTCACTTATCTCTGACGAGTTATGGTGTAGTGCTAAGATTGTTAAGGCTCACTGTTGCTGCCGGAAAAACGTATTGGAATGTACAAAGTCAACGGTATGACTCTAAAAATGATCATGGTTACTATGGCGTCTGGACAAGATGAGTTTTTCTAGGTCTCCTGGGCAATACGACCAAGTTTCGAAAAGAGGGTCGGACAAACACTATAAATAGATTTGTAAGCTAATCTCACCAGAAGACGACTGCTGATTCGCGTTGTACTACAGCCGTTTGACTGTAATGCGACGTTGAAGTTGACGCAGTCCATGAGACATCCTCCCTCGCTTTGGGTGAAAACGGATCTATGGTTAACGTGAGAATTTTGCAAGAATGGGTTTCAGTTCTGATGAAGTCCATCATATGATGGACGAAAGCCCAGCCAGTTTTCATGTGCTGCGTCAACCTAAACGTCGTTCAAAGTCAAACGGCTGCGGTACAACGCGAATCGGCCGTCATCTGGTGAAATTAATCTACAAATCTCCTTATAGTGTTGGTCCGACCTCGTTTTTGCTATTTGGTCGAGGCGTCAAAAACCCTGTTGAACGTACCTAGTCCTATGCCCTTTGCAATAGTGTTCGTGATTTTCGACATTGTGCCATTGACTTGGTGCATTCACGAACGTTTCGCTGGCACATAGTTACAATTTATTCAGGTGACATTCCCTTGACCAATTTTCTGCTCAATCGTTTTGGCATCACTTAGAATCTCTTCATGCACTTTCATACGAAATGAATGTCTCTCCAACAAACATTATAGTTGTGGGTATGAACATCAAACTGGTTTCGTTGTATATTACTCATGTGACTTTGTTTTCGCAACTTGGTCGTATTGCTAGTGGAACCTAGAAGAACGCATCTTATCCAGACACCATAGTATCCACGATAATTTCCATAATTAAACCGTTGACTTGGTACATTCTAAGACATTTCTCCAGCATCATTAGTGAGCCTTGCCAGTCTTAGCACTACATCACAACTCTTCATGCATTTTCATACGAGATGACGGTCTCCCAACACTGTTATCTCGGAAGATTCATCGGAATCCAGTTACTCTTCGTATTCAGAATGTTTGCATCAAAGCATACTCTGAGGCTGTGAATCGCTTTCTTTTTCTTCTACTCTGACTCAAGTTCGCCGTATGCTGGGCCAACAAACGTCTGTCTTGTCCACTTCCACAGTGCCTAGCGAATCAGGAGGACAGTTCGCCCTACTCTGCGTCAGCCCTGATGCCTCAGTCTCCTTCGGAACCGTCTCTTCATGGAGTCGTCCGAGCGTCCGACATGCTGCCGCCTTCCTCGTGCTCATTTGATCCCGCTCCAGGTCCATGTGGCCACTTGAATCGTCCGGAGCCAGACATCCTGCGACCTCTGAATCGGGACTCAGATGTATCAGCATCGCGGCCACGTCCCCGTTCAGGCCTCGCCGATCCGGCCTCGGAAGAGGAGCTGGACACCAAGCCGACTGTCCGAAAGAGACGACGGCGACTAAAGTCATCTGCTCGTGGGACCGGCGGTTGGTTTGAGTCGTTGGCTGCCGGACCGGTGGCTTCAAGAACCCAGTCCTCTTTGCTCCCCTCTTGGCATCAACATCATCGCCTGCGTGTCTGTCTGCTTGCACCTGTATTCCTTCCCGCAGTGTTGACCCTGCCGTCGGCTGGTCCACTCGTCCTAGAGCCCAGCCTCACCAACGCCAATTCGACGTCGGCCAAACTGTTGGCTCCGAGTCGAAACCGGCCCGACGAGGCCTGGACGTCTTCTGCTCCAGGACAGCCGGTACTGCATGCAGTCAAGACGTATCATTGGTTGACTGAGCCCCGTGACTCGGACTCGCCTGGACCCATAGTCGGGCAGGCAGACTCGGGCTTCTGGGATGGAGCCCCGACCGGTCAGACGCTTCGACATGCCAGCCCGTCAGCCATGGACTCACTACTATGCGGACAACCGGTTGTCGCCGATCGGCCCTACTGTGTGGTCACCTGCGAGCCGAGGTAGGCGCATCAATGCCCATGGGTTGTTGCAACGTTGAGCCGTCCTTTTCGCCCAAGTGATGATTTACTTTGTTAGCATTTACAAACAACCTGTGGGCTTCCATGAATCTCTATGGGATAACTCTGTTGTGGAGACTTTTATTTAGTAGGAAAGTGCATGAGGAAGAGTTTCATAGGCCCATCTCATCACAAGACGACGCCTAATTCCACTTGTTTTGGTGACTTTGGAGGCTAAGTTACACCAGTACAGGCTTACATCTCAGCATTTTAACCAGAATTACTTACGGACTGGCCGCACCGGACACCAAAGGAGGGTTGCCTTGGACTTTTGTTTGTTGAATTGTGCGAAGAAGACCTCGATTCATCATCCTACGAGGCCGATTATTCAGTGCTGAGCTTTCATCCGTCATGTGATGGACATCGTCAACGAGCAATCAACAAAAAATCACCAAACCATGAAAAGTGGCCGGTGAACATCCTACATACTTTTTATACCTCACTTTGCGTCCTTAATGAGACATTACATGATCTGCAAAGAAAAGTTGAATTTCGAAAAATCTCTTGTCTAATAGTTGTTGAGCTTGCTTCCCTTTCGAGTGAAAGTGTTTGGTGAAGAGATTCGAAGGGCGATCCCACCAGAAGACGATAATGGATTCCTCTTGACTAGCTGTCGATTAACTTTAATGGAGCATTCTTGTTGATGCTGTTTCCGAGGTAATCTCCTTCGATTCCGAAACCTCGGAAACAGCGTCAATAAGAATGTTCCAGTAAAGCCAATCGACAGCTGGTCAAGAGAATTCCGCCATCGTCTTCTGCTGGGATCGCCCTTCGAATCTATCCACCAAATACTTTAACTCGAAATGTGAGTAAGCTCAACAAATCCATGATTTGGCTGGCTGCTTTTTGCTTGTCCTCTATTTATGCAGACGTGTAAAGTTGACTCAAGAACAGGAGTGGGTTTGGTCACAACTTTTGTATATGTAAATAAACTATCTAATCATCATGTAATCCCGGAGCTTGTTTTAGCTTCATGCATACGTATGCATTGTGCGTATACAACAGTCACGAGTTTCACAGATGGGGTGGCAGGGGTCGAGTGAAATACTTGAACCAGAGAGATAGCAGACAGATCCTACGGGGCAAGAGGGAGACTCTGGTAAGGCCTAAAGAAGTGGGACTGCGTAACAGTATGGCAGACTCTGATCAACATTCCCAGGGTGAGAATGCCGATGTGAAGTTTGGAGGGTTCTCATGAAAGCCGCTCAAAAGGGCACACCACACTACATTTAAATAAGCACTAAAAATAAATAAATAAATAAATAGTGATAGTGAAGGCGTGGTACGAGGATATAGGAGAGATGAATAGTACAGGACAAAAGGAGATATACCACAACTGTTTAGCACACATTTGGTCAAAGTATCGGCTTCATTTGTTTCTGACGAGTTGTAGTATGATGCTAAGAATGGCAAAACTCACTGACGATGGCGACTACGATGCCGGGGAAACATTTGAGAATGTCCGACTGGAAATTATCATGCATACAAGGTACTCCGGACTAGGTGCAGTCCTCTAAGTCTTCCTACAAATATGGCAAATATGTGAAAACAAGGTCAAACTACTTCTATACAACGAAAGGAGACTGTGATCACACAAAAGGCCATTACATCTTGGTCTTCATATCTTCGAGTCATGAGTTGGTTGGTAAATTTTGGGTCAGAGACCAGAGTACAGCTTTATCAAGCCGTCTCCTTTTACTCAGTTGTTCTTCCTTTCTCTCTCTCTCTATCTCTATCCAATTCTATTT